ATTGAAACCCGCCAGCTAAGGCGTATGTGTCTGGTGCCTTAGCCTCTTCAGCCACAGGCGCGGAGCCTTTTAAATTTATTTATATTTATTTATTTATTATTTTTATTGTTGGGGATTCATTGAGGATACAGAGAACCAGGTTACACTGATTGCATTTGTTAGGTAAAGTCCCTCTTAGAATTATGTCCCACCTTCAAGAGGTGTGTCACATACCATAAGCCTCCAGCCCCTCTTCCCTCTCTTGGGTTTCCCATTTCCCTACTCCCCACCATGTACTAGGTCATCAATTGTCCTCATATCAGAATTGTGTACACTGGATTCTTGCTTCTCCATTCTATTTACTTATTTATTTTGGAGACAAAGTCTCAGTCACCCATGGCGTTATAGCTCACAGAAACCTCAAACTCTTGGGCTTAAGTGATTCTCTTGCCTCAGCCTCCTGAGTAGCTGGGACTATAGGCTCCTACCACAACACCTGCCTATTTTTTAGAGATGGGGTCTCGCTCTTATTCAGGCTGGTCTTGAACTCCTGAGCTCAAGCACTCCACCTGACTCGGCCTCCCGGAGTATTGGGATTACAGGCATGAGTAACTTCCAACTCCTGGGCTTAGGTAATTCTCTTGCCTCAGCCTCCTGAGTAGCTGGGACTACAGATGCCCACCATGACACCCGGCTGTTTTTTGTTGCAGTTTGGCTGGGGCCGGGTTTGAACCCACTACCCTCAGTATATGGGACCTGTGCCCTACTCACTGAGCCACAGGTACCGCCCTCAGTGTGCCTTCTTATAACACAAATCACTACTCTTTCTCCATGTAGCCTTCACATAATAACAAATCTCAGCATGTACCAAGGTTTTGGTTCATTTGTTTTATTTAGCACTAAAAATGTCTGCTCCCAAATGCTGGTTTCCCTTTTCTGAATTCCACAGTCCACGTTAGGAAAGCAAGATAGATAGTGGAATGGGCATCAGACTGAGAGGGCTAGTTAGTGTACAGCTTGGTCATAAACGGGCTAGGTGGCCTTAATACCACCCTCAACCCCTGCCCCACTGACCTATTCCCTGACAGGAAATGAGGGGTTGGTCTGGATGCTTCAGGTGAAAGTCTATGACTGCACCTATTACAAATTAGCCCTTTCCCCTCCACTCTGCTAAGGCTTTCCCATTGGCCACACTATGCCACACTACCCCTGTCCTCTCCATTCTCACTGTGGTCCTTATAGGTTTGTGTGCTTTGGAAAGATTCTTTATTTAATGATCTTCCATGTCATAAGTTTTCCCTTGTTTTCTTTGTCTTCATGATAATGAGAAAAACAAAGAGATCCCCTCCCTCTAAAGCCTGGAAGCAACAAGCAGTAACTGGCTGGCAAGCTCAGACCACTGTGACCACCCTGCAGAGCCAACCCTGACAAAAACTACATCTTATTATTTATCACAACTCATTTCTATTCCATTACAAAAGTTTCTATCTAAAAGGACAAATTCAGCGTTGACTACAGGATGTGAAAAAGATGCTAGGTCTCCACAAACAACATTTATTCACTTGAATAAGAAACAATAATTGACAATGTAAATAGGTTTTTACAGAGCCTTCTCTCCTGATTAAGCCTTTCCCAACTCAACAAAGTATTTTTGGTTGTTGTTATTGTTTTAGAATAATGTTTTCAGAGTTAATTTTAGGCTTTAAGTTTACTTTTCTTTTTCTTTCTTTCTTTTTTTTTGTAGAGACAGAGTCTCACTTTATTGCCCTTGGTAGAGTGCTGTGGCATCACACAGCTCACAGCAACCTCCAACTCCTGGGCTTAGGCGATTCTCTTGCCTCAGCCTCCTGAGTAGCTGGGATTAAGTTTACTTTTCATACTCTATCATCAAACTTGATTCCTCAAAAGGCTCACTTTTGCCTTGACTTTAATTTTTTTTATTAATAGCTTTTTTTTTTTTTGAGACAGACTCTCACTTTGTCACCCTTGAGAGTGCTGTGGCATCATAGCTCATGCAACCTCAAACTCTTGGGCTCAAGTGATCTTCTTGCTTCAGCCTCCCAAGTTGCTGGGAGACAAGGTCTTGCTCTTGCTCAGGCCTCCCAGAGTGCTGGGATTACAGGTGTCAGCCATCATACCTAATCCTCTAACAAACATTTCAATGGGAAAGAATTGAGCTTTCTCCTTGACTGTATCTTCTCTTACTGAGGCAGAGGTGGTAGCACAGCAGCAACCTGTTTGGAACAGGCTCTAAAGCTAGCCCACAAGAGAGGTCTGGAGGCAGGAGTCCTTAGTGCTAAAAGCACAAATGAGCATTTGCTAAGTCATAGGGCTGCCCTCAAAGACACAGACACAGAGGAGAGGAGGACGAATGGGGTTCATGAAGTACTCCCTTCTCCTTTCTGCTAACAGCACCCTGCCATCCTTACCTCGAGCACTGGAAGGGGCAGAGGTAATCATCTGGGATGGTGCAGAGTGGGTGGAACTCAGGCTGGAAGAAGAAGGGCTTGCCTGGGACGAGGACAGAACAGAGACGTTGGTGACTGAGCCCTGGTACCTAGGGTTGGGATACACGAGCTGTAAAGGGAAAAAAATCAGCAAGATAGAGTTCTGAATGGCTGGAAGTGTAGGGCTGATGCAGAGTCAGCTTCTTGATGCCCTAAGGTGCCCAGAATCAGTGCCTGATGCTGTACCTTGATGGAGGTCAGGGTAATGGCTGGTGTTAAGGGTCTACCCGTACCACCCACCTGGAATAGGACTATTGGGTTGACCCTACTATGGTACCCATGGAAGAAGAAGGACTAAACTAGAAGGAATGCCAGGCAAGAGGGCAATCTCACAGAAGATCTGTCCCATGGGTTCTCTGAGAGCAGCTGGATTTCCTTCTGGGGAAATAAGGCCTGGAAACTGAGACTTGGGATGGTGTGTAGAGGGAAGGCATGTTTTTAGTTCTGGTGAGGGGTGTACTGAATTCAAAAACTAGAGAACTAGGTAGAGTTACTAGCCCTTATACCCGACCCTTAAGTAGAAAGATCAGTCCTCTAGGCATGGTACCCTGGCCCATTCTCCCTGGACAGCTCTGGTACCTGCATGTGGTGGTACAGGTCCTCAGGAGCCTCGCCCATGGAGCTGTCGCCTAGCATCACCATGTTTCCCGCTTCGCTAGACGCATGTGAGGAGAGAGAGGATGATGAATGGCGGCCTGTGCCCATCAAGTTCATGGGGCTGTGAGTAAGAGTGGGAAATAGGAGTCAGGCCCATGGCTGAGACACCATTTGGGTGGTAGGGGAACAACAGAGGGGAATGTGTAAAAAAGTCATCCCCAATTTCAGCTACCACTTGTTTGGAAGATTCCCTATCCAATGCTCACACTCATCTGAGGTGTGGAGCAGCTCTGAGCCTCACCCTGCTACTCTCAAGCCCCTGTTCTGGGAGGGCTGATGGTGGATTGGCCTAGCCTCTACTTAGAGCTAAATGGTTTATGGCCATGAACGGGTTAGGTGGTCAGTCTGATGACATTAGCAGTTTCTCAGGAGGCATAAAAGAGAGATACTAAATTAGGTCAATGATCTCAGGTCTCCCTTTCTATGGGGTAGAAGTCTGAGCCAGTACCCACATCTTGATGGAATCTGTTCTTAGGTCACAGATGTCTTCTTGGAATGGGGAAGCTATCAAAATAGCTGGCTGTGAACTATGTGGGCTTCTTTTCACATTTGTGGCCCTGGATTGCCAATAGCTCTCCTCTAGCAATACCAGAAGCCTCTCATCCATTTGTTCCTCCTCATTTACTGAGTGCCTACTCTGTGCTGAGTTGCTACTCACACCAGAAAACATACCTAAGTAAGGGATTCCTCTCAACAGCCCACTCCCGCGACCTGGACCTTCCTGCTCTAGAGGCTTGAATATTCTCAGCTGTATCCAAGCAAACTAGGACTCCTGAATTCAGAGCAGCCTTGGACACCATGAGGTCCACGTCACTATGCTGTTTTCCTCCTTAAAACTGATCAGTGATCCTTGAGACCAGTGCCCTTGAGACCAATCCAAAGCCTTACACGAGCAAGCCCCATTCAGAGCTTGTCTTGGCTCTTTTCTGTACTCTGGAATCCTGCCCTTAGCCACTTGATTTTACTTTGGTGCTGGCCAAGCTGGCTTGTTCACATCTCGAGGCTTCTATATGTCTCAGTCACTCTGCCCCAAATCTTTTGTGCTTAGCAAACTTCTACTTATTCTTTAAAATGTACCTCCTCCTCCATGTTTTCACAATACCATACACTTCTTCTTTTTTTTTTTTGTTATTTTATTAATTTTATTTCATTGCTTATTTTTTCTTTTCCTTTCTTTTTTGTTGAGACAGAGTCCCACCCTGTGCCCCTGAGCAGAGTGCAGCGGCTTGGTAATTCACTGCAACCTCAGACTCCTGGCTTGTGGGCATCCCGCTGCCTCAGCCTCTGGAAGCTGCTGGGATTATAGGCACTTGCCGTGGCGCCTGGCTGGGTTTTTCCATTTTTTTCATGAGTCGGGGTCTCACTTTCGCTCAGGTGAGTCTCAAACTCCTGAGCTCCAGCGATTCTCCCTCCTCAGCCTCCCACAGTGCTGGGATTACAGGCGTCAGCCACCGCGCCCGGCACCATACACTTTTGTTACCCCAGATAGCGACTGACAGAATACAGGGTGTGGGTTCTACAGCAGGAGCCATGTAAATGTTTGCTGTGTGTGTGGGTAAGAGGGAACATGAGTGAGTATACACCAAGTACTTTAGGACTTCTTTCCTTTTACCCTTGATACATAGACTTACCTCTCTGGAGGGAACTCTCCCCAGCCCTAAGAGCGTACCTGTGTCGGTGGGTCATCTTCATGCTCTCAGGACTCAAGGGGCTATGAGATGCCAGAACATTTCCCCGGGGGGTGCTGGTGCCTGAACATGCAGGACTTAGCTTATCCAAACCTGGAAACTCCTGTTAAGAAATGAATGCCCCTTCATAGAGAGTAAAGAATAAATAAGCAATTAAAGGGTAGAAAGGAAGAACTGGCTAGTGGTCTAAAATATAAAAGAAACCAACAAAAAATAAATAAAAAGAAAAGAAAATATGAAAGAGAACAAAAAGAGTCAAATACTGTGGGTGAATCTGAACTGCTGACTTCTTTTGGGCAACACCCTCTTTAAAACTAAAAAAACTTCTAACTGCACTGGAGCCTAGGCCAGAGGGTGTGGAACCCTATGTTGACTTAAGAGAAGCACGTCTGGAATAGGCTGAAGCCAATCTGAGCATGCAGGAGCATGTTAACAGGTGTTTTCACTATAGAATAAGTAGAACAAGAGCTGGGAAGGAGGAAAGAAAGAGCTTATTATCAGCTTTCAGGCAGTGTATATCTTTTACATAAGGATTGGGGCTGGGTTTTACTGGATTGCTAAATGGCCTAGCTCTTGGTGACCTGGGTTAAATTGCCTGTGACAGAGTCTTTGGGGGAAATAGGACATAAAATCCTGATGTAAGTAATTAAAAACAGCACAGTTCTATTTTAGCATAATTAAATTCTTATCGAGTATGTAGAGTTCTAGGCAGAAGCTTCTGCTTTCAAATTCTACTGCATGCTGGCTTCTGTTTCTGTTTGCATAGGAAACAAAGCACAACTGTCTGGGTTTCCTCAAACCCTTCATAATCTGTGGTGGACAAGGGTCCTAAGTCCACCAGGGATGCTTCTGAGCTTGTCCTGAAGAGGCAGAAGGTTTTCTATCCCCTTCTTCTAAAACATGCAGAAGGCTGAAATGTGCTTTGCAGCTAGAGAGGACGCCTTCACGTGCACCACTGAGACCTTGACATATGTGGGCAAGCATTTTGTGTGTGTGTTTGCTGCAGTGATCAGACTGCCTGCATGGTAGAGAACCTCCTCGGTAACAGGTTCTAGCCTTCTTGGGCCACCTGCTGTGATGGGAAGATTGCGCACATCAGATACCAGCCATAATGTCAGGAGATAGAGTAGAATAAGAGGTAATGGAATACTCACCACGTTCAGTGACACTACCCAAGTTCTTTACTAAACTGACAGTCCATTTTTAAGGGGGAAACATAAATGACCTCTGCATGTTTCACTTTGAAATACCATGGGTGAATCCTAACAGAAAGGAACAATTTCAGGCTCTACAGCCTTCCTGGAAAGGTGGAAAATGTGCCTACCTCTCAAACTATGACAAGCTTGATTTTTTTCTGTTTGCTTTTCATGTTGTATACACTTGTGCAGGAACAGGCTGAGACCTGCACTGGGAGCCTGGAGGGACTGAGATGACCAGAATTCCCAGCATCTAAGAACAAAGCAGGTCAGCTCCAAATAGGTCAGGTCCACCGAGTCCAAGTGGTCCAACCTCCCCCAGGGCCTCTGTTGGCTGGTGGTCATCTCTAAAGGGTAATTTCTTATTTATGATAGTCTGGTGCAGGACTGAACAGCTTTACTTCTTGTCTCCCTGCTACTTCTATCCAGTGGTCCTAGGTTAGGGAACCTAGGTAAGGTAAGAGAAACTTTGCTTCCATGCCAGGTAGCAGGAGGTAACTTGACTAACACCCTTGAGATATGAGGGCCAGCCTGTTTGGCAGGAAGGCATTTTTAGAAATCATTTGGCGTTAACCCCATGGTTGAAAAAGAGGTAAAAGTATATGACCAGGGGACATCAGACCACCTGAACTCTATCTTCAGTCAGTTAGCATTCCATGTAAGACCCTGCCAAAGAAAACTAGTCCTGGAATACAGGTCCTTCATACCGGTATCAGTCCTTGGGCCAAACCCTGCTCTGGAGGCTGATAAACCAAGCCAGAGTTAGGAAGCCTTTCTGGGGCCTGGTGCAGCCTCAGAGCCCTCTAAGAACAGCCAGCATGAAAGTATTGCCCATCCTAGGCTTTTTTAGATGTAAGCCTGGGTTGCCAAACATGATGGAAGAAGTTGGGAGGGAAGGAGAGAAAGGGAAATAGAGGGATAGGGTGAAAAGAGGAAAAAGAAAAAGAGGAGAGAAGATGAAGATGGGGAGGGAGAGAGGATAAGGAGGAAGGAAAACGGGGAGAATAGGTTGGTTCAGGCCATAGCTTACCTCTTTAGGTTTTTGGAATAAAAAACATCTCCTAGAAGATCCCTATATGTGGGTTGTATACTTTACCTCTTTTCCTCCACATATAAAAACCTCTGTTTACTAGCACAGTACCCTGAAAAACGTTCTTTGCCCTTGAATCTGACTTTTCCTTTGGGAATGAGTGAGAAGATTCCCCTGGATACATAATCTATCCCTGCCTCCTACACTCCTGTAACAGAGATAGCTTCTCTTCCATACCCTCTCCCCACTACCCTCCTTTGGTCTGTGATACAGATCTGAAGGAAGTGACCCTTGCTTTTACAGCAGCAGGACAGGGATCAGCTTACATGGTAGAGACTGGCTCGCATCATCTGGAACTGATCGATCAGCTTCTTATGCAGAGGCCTCATTTCTGGGTGCACAAACTTCTCATGAACTGCTAGCCCAACTCCAAGGACATGGACCTATTAGGATAACAAACAAGGCCACTCTACGAAACCCGAGCAGCCCTTGGGAACTCCTGGCTTCTGGCTTCTAAGCCTTACAATACATACCTGCTCCTGCATGAGCTCCTTAAGCTGGGTGATCTTCTCAGCATCTCCTGGGTGCTTGATGATATAGTCTTTATCAAAGAAGGCCTGTGAAAGGAAAAGCCAAGTCAGGAAGACTCTTCCCAGGACTACTACTCAGATGGGACTCACCAGACTTAAGTCCAAAGATGCCACCTAAAAGGCACCCAGGCTGTCTATGTATAGGTACATATACCACCATCTTCAGCCTGGCCTGTTTGAACCTCCAGCAATCAGAGGTGTGTTTTTTCATCTGAGAAGGACTGAAGGCCAAGTCTTCTAAGGCTGAATGCTTACCCTAGTATTTCATGGAGGCTGGCTGGCCTGCTAGGGCAGGCAGGGATGGTGGCCTGGGAGTAATGGTTAGCTTCTTAGCCATCATTCTCATGAAGGGATGGGCTCCAGGGCTTCTTTCAGAGGCCACTGATCATCTCATAATCAGAAGGATTAACCATATTTCAGAGTTTAGAGAATAAATATGGAGAAAAGTCCCTATCAGAGAGCTGTGCCACAGCAATAAAAGTGGCAGAGAGCTCAGGGTCTCATCCCAAGACCATTTCAAGTTAGCTTAGTCAAAAGAGGGTTAGTTGAGAAAGCTGTCCGCAGAAGCTGTACTCTTAAGATGAGGCGCCTGTGAGCCTCCTTCCTAGCAAGGCTGCTGGTGTGGGTTTGTTTAGGGCCCCAGCTCACCTCCTGGTAGCGGGCAATGCCTCCATTGACAGCTGCATCAATGACCCCATTCAGGCACATGCTGAGCAGGTTGATGTTGCCATGAGCCTGCTTGTGCTGATACTGGCTGATCAAGGCCCGCAGCTCTTGGTTCTTATTCTCAACCACTTGGAGGGCATTTTCCAGAGGGCTCACTTCCACCTAAGGGGATAGAGTACACAGTGTCACCCCAGGAATGACAACAACCCCTTCCTGAGAGCAGGGATCTTAGACCTGTGTTGTTGATGTCTCTTCCTTATTCCTGTGGACTTAAGAATCCCTGGGTACTTTCTACTTTTCAATTCTGATTTATAGGCACTTGGAAGTATAGCAAGTAGTAAAGATCACTAGTTCGGAAATCAGAAAGCTCTGGCTTCCTGAATCTCAGAGAATAGTTTTCTCATTTGTAAACTGGTAGATTAAAAATACCTATTGCCCATGGGTGTTGTGAGGCTAGATGAGAGAAGGTACACAAAGATCCTAACATAGGATGGACCTGTGGGAACCTAGGCCAGGTAGGTGGCCAAAGCCCTCTTGTTCTTCTGTGCTTTGAGAAAGGTCCCCAGAGTCAGGGCAGAGGGGGCAGCTGTGAAGCTCAGCCTCATCTGAGACATGTCTCACCAGTTCCCTCCTCTCCACCTCGAACCATCGAGAGATGCCAGGTAAGCTGTGGGTCAAGGTCAGTGTGGTACGCTCAATCCACAGGCTCTGCAAGGAAGGCACAAGCAGAACAGGTAGGTGTAGGCAGTTAGGCAAGTTTTGCCATACCCTGCCTACCCGAGGGATAAAATAGGGGCAAGATCTTAAGAAAGTGGGGCTTGCCCCTGGATTTGCTGTGTGCACTGCCCATTTTCCTAGATTTGTTCACCTTGAATTCATTCTCTTTGTCCTTGGGGCCTTTGTGAAAAGGTCTGTCGTACCGGAACTTCCTCACATTGTTGACACGATAGAAGCTCTTGACACGATCTGGGACCCTATCCATCTGCAGAACATCCACATAATCTGGAATGGGCGTCACTGCATAGATCTGCAAATCTGGGCAGGAAGTAAAGGGGAAACCCAGACTTGCCAGAGAGGTGGATCTGGGTGGCTGATTCCATCTCCTCTAAGGAGAGAAGAACACCATAGCCCCTGTTCCCTCCTGGATGTCAGTGGTAGAGGCAGCAACTGCTAAAGGGGCAGACCAGACCTAAGTGCAGTTAGGCAAATTTCTCTACCTGCCCCCTCCCTCTTCCTGCTCCAATAGTGAGTCTTAGCAGCACTCAGCCAAGATGAGATGTTAATACTCAGGGTTCTCTGGTCTCCCTTTAAGAAAGAAGGGGAATGAAGGGGAATGCAGCTACCTAACTCAGAGATATGACAGAAGGCTACACAGGCTAGGGCCTCCTCTCTGTGGATAAACTGTATTTACTGAAAAATAACTTTTAAATAAAATATTGTTTGGAATCTTTGTGGAGAGAAACAGATGGGGGTTTGCTTGCCCTCCCCTGTCTGGAACAAGCTTAGCATAGTCATGGTGATTATCACATGGTTTCCACGGAAACTGTGTGAGTGGTGAAGAGGGGCAGGCCCGTGTTTGCACTCAGACTTCCAAATACCACTAAACCACAGGAACTCCCTATCTCTTCTCCCTTTCCTCATTCCAGTATTCTATCCTAGTCCAATATTGTCTTTGACAAAGAGATAATAACAGTGCACATGGGAGTGGAGGAGGGCACAGCAAAGGTAGTGTCACTATGACAAGAGCCTCGGTGGAACCCCAAATCACCCTGCATAGTAATTGCTTCTGGATGACTAGATAGGCCTCTCATAGGGCAGGATGAAGCCAACCTGAAGGCTAAAGGTCCTCCTGGAGCCCTGATGATGACTAGACCACCTGTGGCTAAGGGTATGCCCCTGCCTCCTCTGTGAGGTATGACTGCCTTGCTAAGTGTGTGCTCAGTGCTAAGGACACACTTGGGGTTAGGATTATGGCTAACCTAGCCGCTGTGACTGACAAAAGAGGGAAGCTGACTAGGTGGGCCTCACCTCCCAGGGCCCCTACCCTCCACCCCCCACCAAGTGTCAAAAGATACACTGGGCATCACACTGTAGGATGGCATCATCAGGATGGTTGGGGTGCTGCATGGCGACAGCCTGTGGGAACTCGCTGAGCATCCTCTGCTGGAAAGCCTCCAGCCTTTCGTAGTCATGGCCACGGCACACGTATTCTTTGTTCTGCCACAAACATGAAAGCATACTCTATGCCTTGCCTGTAGCCCCCAACGTCCACATGGGAGTCAGTAGCTACTCATCCCACAAACACATCTAGGAACTTCCTCTGTATCAGGCCCTGGAGAAGGTATGGGGAATAGCAATCAGTCCCTGTTCTAAAGGAAATGACAGTCAAGAGGAGAGGGGCAGATGAAGGAAGAATTGCAAGAAGGGGAGCAAGGTAGGGGATGGAATGAGTACTGAAAGGCCCACCTGGGTTGACCTGGTAGAGAAGAGCTGGGAAGGACAATATGTGGGTACAGTGACAATCAGGGCAAAAACAGTCAAGACAAGAAAATGTACAGCTGGAAGAAGGGTATGGAGAACTGATGGGAAGGTAGTTGAAGAAGTTGGCAGGTATGCGTCAAGAACTGATTGCTATGGGTACCACCAAGTAATTTTAGATAAGGGGGGGTAATCAGGTGTGTGATTTTGAAGGTTCACTTTCGTTATCTGGGAGAAACAGCCTAAACACTGCCCAGTACCCAGGAGGTATTCAATAACTTTTTATTACATTAATAAATTCCTTTGGCAGCAAATTTGTTTGAAAACATGTCAGCAGAACAAATCAACTACATATTTCTTAAAATTTTACATGTTATGACACATTTAATTTGGATTAGGTTTCAGTTTTTCTCTTTGTAGATTAAAGTCTCTGTGGACAAAGCATCCTCACTTCCTACTCCAGGCTGTTCTGCCTACTTCAAAGCTGGTTATGAGTGGCCAGCCTCGCCAAACCCATTTCCATAAAGTTGTATCAGGTATTGACATCTTCTCCTGGCATGTCTTCAGAAGAAAACGGGTTAAAGAGAGACTCCAGAGAGAAATAATGCTTCCCAAACAGGGCTGATCACTGGCCAGGCCTTTGAGGACTTCAGCCTTCTTGGAATAGGATTGGTGCTTCTTTTCACTTCCTTTTTTTTTTTTTTTGGACACAGAGTCTCATTTTCTTGCCCTTGGTAGAGTGCTGTGGCGTAACAGCTCACGGCAACCTCAAACTCTTGAGGTTAAGCAATTCTCTTGCCTTGGCCTCTCAAGTAGCTGGGACTACAGGTGCCTGCCACAATACTTGCCTATTTTTAACTTCCTTTCTTACTATGGGAGAACTCAGCTAAGGCTAGGCCATGTGTCTTGATTAATCAGAATGGAAGGGCAACAACAGAAGCGAAGTTAAAAAGGAACAGGCTGATCTCTCCAGTGGAACAGACTAGTAGTGAAAGAACAGATACTTCTTTCTTTCTTTCTTTCTTTTTTGAGACAGAGTCTTACTCTGTTGACCTGGGCAGAATGCCATGGCATCATCATAGCTCACAGCAACCTCAAACTCTTGGGCTCAAGTGATCCTGTTTCTTCAGCCTCTCCTGAGTAGCTAGGCCTATAGGCACCTGTCATAACACCTGGCTAATTTTTCCATTTTTAGCAAAGATAGGGTCTTGCTCTTGCTCAAGCAATCCACCAGCCTTGGCCTCCCAGAGTGCCAGGATTACAAGTGTGAGTCACTGTGCCTGGCCGAGGACAGAGATTTCTAAGTTTCTTGCTTGATAAAACTGACAAAGAAAGTACTTGTGAAAAAAATTGGCCTTTTCATAGTCATTCACAATGTCTGTTCAACCCTCACCAATGTCTGTGCATTAGTCAGATGAAGAGAAGTAGAAATTCCCCATGAAGGGAGGGCTGGATGTTTTCCTGTGTCCTTGCAGATTAGTAGCTAATCACATTTGTGAGGTGAGGCAGGTAGATGGTCCAAAGAAACCAAGCTGACAGAGCTAAAGTAACAGATGGCCTATGTAGTCAGGGATGGTGAAGGGGTAATGTAGCCTTCAGGGAAGGCCCAATAAGAGGAAGGCATGCAGTGCTGACCTTCAGGCTGGTTGTTGGTCTCACATTTATTTACTTGAATGAGAACTTCAGCATCTCTACGCAGGACAGATCTGGTCACCTGGCCACCTTCTAGCCATCTAGAAAGCAAACAGCTATTTCCACTGGGACTTATTTCTACCTGCCACAGATAAACCAAACAGCTGAAGGACAGGAAGGCAGCAAGTGGCTAGGCCAGGGAAATCTGTATGTAGGAATCATAGCTCCTAGAAACTATTCCTTGTGCAAAGATAGGGATCAACAGACAGGTGATATTTCCTAATCTCCTTGTTATTTTTCCTTCATTATTAGAGCCTTTGAAACCACATTTGAACATTCAGACTATTACCTATAAGCATGATTTGTATAGCTTACATACAGGTTCTATGCCAGATCTACTTGTCAGAAAGCTCCAAGAATCCTAAGACACTAATGTTTTGTGACATGACCATGAAAGGGTGGGAGCCAGGTCAAACCATGATGGAGCATACTCACTTGGCAGAAATAGAAATAGGAGATACCAGGGCCTGATTTTGTAAAATCCAAAATAATGATGTATTGTAGCAAAATCTGATTTATCATGTACAAAAATTGTGGATCTACACAACAAGAACAAAATGATAAGAAATCATAACTTGCAAAGATAAAAATGAGAAAAAACAAGTTATAGGAAATCATTAGTTTGTCAAAGGACTTTCTGGAGATAGTTTTGATTTCTTTCTTTTCTTTTTTTTGGTTTGAGACAGAGTTTCACTCTGTTGCCCTGGGTTAAGTGCCATGGGGCCATAGCTCATAGCAACCTTAAACTCCTGGGTTTATGCCATCCTCTTGCCTCAGCCTTCTGAGTATCTGGGACTACAGGTACTTGCCATGATCCCCAGCTAGTTTTCCTACTTTTTAATTAATTAATCAATTTATTTATTTATTTATTTTGAGACAGAGTCTCACTAAGTCTCCCTTGGTATCACAGCTCACAGCAACCTCAAATTCTTAGACTCAAGCAAGTCTCTTGCCTCAGCTTCCCAAGTAGCTGGGACTACAGGCACCCACCACAATGCCTAGCTATGTTAATTTGTTGTAGTTGTCATTGTTGTTTAGCAGGCCCGGGCCGCGTTCAAACCCGCCAGCCCCAGTATATATGGCTGGTGCCCTAATCACTGAGCTATGGGCACCAAGCTAAGTTTTCTATTTTTAGTAGAGATGGGGTCTTGATGTTGCTCAAGCTGGTCTTGAACTCCTAAGGTCAAGCAATCCACCTGCCTTGGCCTCCCAGACAGCTAGGATTATAGGTGTGAGCCACCATACCCAGCAAAGGTTTTGATTTCTAATACTCATATGGTTCCTTCTACCTTTTTGCTGACCTCTACCTCTATTGTTGTTATATGATCTTTGCTGATGGGGGCAGCAAACATGCCGCTTATGAAATGCTTAGGTTGCAGAGTCACAAGAGATGAAGGAGGAGTCCCCCTAAGGTAGTCTCTCCATTCATTCCCATTTTGCTACTATGAACACTCCTGTGGAACAGGATCAGAGTCTTCCAGGGGATTATAATCAGGCAGAGTGAACTTGCTACCTCTTGTCACATTATTCATTTCTACACAGATAATTTTTCCTTTCAGCCTAGAATTATTGCTGACTAGGAAAGGTACAGGTTGATTTGCCTTACATCAGAAATGTGGTTAGGCTGAACCCTCTTGCTAGCAGATTGGAATTATTTTTAGAGTATCCATTAAACCTGCTTGACCCTTGATGGGATACTTGTTATTGTTCACTGTCTAAAGAAATTTCTCCATTAAGATGGGATCCCAAACATATCAAAGAGAATCCTATGAATTTTCCCAGGTGCTTGCTGAGACTTTCAGACATTGAATTTTAGTAAGATATTAAAAATGGAGGCAATCAGAGCTCATCTCAGGTCTCAACTACTCCAGGGCCCATTCATCAGGACAGCTGCATTTAGATCATCTGAGAACAACTCCGTATAGAATATAACCTATAGGTAGCCAGCTGACTCCTCTAGCACAACTCCTCTGGGTTGTGCTAAATAAATAAGAAAATCACAATTGCATAAGTACGTCTATGTTCAGTCATTTCTTCTACTCTGAATTCCAGCCCAGTCTTCCAGAAAATAGTGGACAGAAATGGCTGTTGTCATCCTGTGTCACAGGATTGGCTGCCTAAAAGAGGCTCTCCACAGGCAAACTCAGGGCTTAGCAGCTTCCTCAAGGTCCCAGGAGCTAAGTGCAGTGTCCTTTGAGTTCTGTAAAACCAACAGTTCTTCATCTTGGTTGCACAGACTACAGTGCAGCTGAGAGAGATAAATATCATCTTAGATGACAAATCCCAAGAAGGGATTTCAGGGATGTACCTGTGGCCTGTCTAGCTAAGAAGAGTTACAGTGGAGGTTATAGGCACTGGAGGCAGAAGTTGGAAGGTACCTATGAGACATTCTTATTCTTAGATCCTGGCCACTTTCTAAAGAAACTCAGTTGATTTGGTAAGAAAGCCACCCTTTCTGGTAGCTACAGAACAATTCAGGGTTCTAAGTTGGCAGCCAGTCCAGTAAAATAAAGCCAAATGTCTTTAGTTGACTGGTTAGATCTTTGAAAACAAGTATTCAGTAAAATAGGCAAAAAGAAAAAAAAAGAATACAGGTTTTAAGTGAATTATGTTTTATAAGTTTCATTGACTACCTGAACAGACTCACCCGAAGGAAGAAAGGAAACTTCCTGCCATAAAAGCCAACTCGAAAGAACTCAGGCTCCAGGCGTTGCTGCTCCATAATGTTGTCATAGTAGCTGGCCTCCATTTTCTGTGAATGAGAAAGGTCTTCAGGTTGGTTTGACTGTTGTTGGTGTCCAAAGAAAGTTCTCCCAGGCTCAACTGGACACTGTCTTCTGGAAAGGGATCATGGTGACTCAATCTAGATAAGATAGAAGGGAGCCCCTGGCCATGACCAGCTTCTCTCTTGGGAGCTGCATCATGGAAGAAAAAGCTCTTTATCATTGCTGTCTGATAGTGGGATGAGAACCAGCCTACCCACTGCAGCCATGTGTGTCTGCTCTGAATGTTCTTCACAGGGGGTGGACAAAACACCATGGAGATCTGGGTTTCCTGTAGTTGGGGAGCATACATTTAACATGGATTTTTTCTGCCCAAGGATTTCTGATTTTGACTGATACTGTACTAGACGACCCCACATTAGGGTTGCTTGTTGCTGGACTACCAGCAAGGCTCAGTACCATTTTGCATCAATCTAACCACATCTGCTCTTGTTCATTTATTGTCTGAATAAAAATTCTTGCAACCATAGTGAGGAAGGTTCAAATCCCAGCACTACTGGTACTGGTTCCAATTTAGGAGATTTTAAACTTGATAAAAAGTTAACTAATATCCATGATGTCTACCATTTCCAAGGTTGTAAAGGTTTTTAGTCTTGGCTGACCTGGCTTCACATTCAGAAAAAACTCACTGAAAGTTTGAGTGGGAATATAGCACTAATGAATTTAACCAAGCCAGGTTGCTGGGTAACAGGGGCTTTCGAAACCAGTTAAGAAGTTTCTGGGGGAGGAAGTGTCCAAACCCCTTTCTTGATCATAAAACAGAAGAAAGTTAGCTACAGAGAAGAGGGTGTGCTAAGACTATTAACCTCTCTTTGCTGATGAAATAAGCAGATGTTACAATTCAAAACTCAGTATCAACAACTAGGAAAACTGTGCAGATATTCAAAGTCAATGGAGCATTTGACTTAAATTTTAAATATTTTTCTTCAAAGAGGGGAGCAAGGAGAAGTAGCTTAAAAGTGACCACAAGCCAAAGTGAGTAAAACTCTATTATAAAGATTTTTAGATGAAGCATCCTTAAACAAAACCATTTTAGGAAATGGTTTATGAAGTTGAGCTTCCACCTTCTTCATGAAACCCCCATTCAATTATGCCTATGCTGGTTTCTCCCTTCCCTGGGCACCACTGGGCCTTTGGGGTCCAGATCATACAACCATTTGTCAGGTACATGTTTTGGTTCCTCAGTCAGACTGAATGTGTCTCAAGGATAGGAATCTTGGTTTCTGTTTCTCCTGTACCATGTCCACAGCACTAAACCAAGACCTGGTCCATAGTAAATGCTTACTTATAAACTGATGCCAAGATATGTCCTGGCACCTTTGATCAGGAATGAAGTGGGAGAAGGGGTAAAGCTCACCCGTATCCAGCTGAGGCTCTGATAATCGTAGAGGTTCTCATACTGACATGCCAGCTCTCTGCATAGTGGGATCCCAAACTCCCAGCTCTGTGTCAGAAATAAGAATAGGGCTTCAGTGCCTCAGGCATCCTCAGAATAGCCTAAATCCATATTGAACACATTAGAGATCACAACAAAATGCCTTTGCCTGACTCTAACTCATATGTCACAAAGAACATATGCCTCAGAGCCAATATGAGGGGCATGTTGGTTCACACCTGTAACCTAGCACTTTGGGAGTACAAGATGAGAGAATTGCTTGAAGCCAGGTATTTGAGACCAGCCTGAGCAATATAGTGGGACCGGTATCTATAAAAAAAAAAAAATTTTTTTTGTATGGTGGCTTGTGCCCATGGTCCCAACTACTCAAGAGGCAAGAAGATCATTTGAGCCTAGGAATTCAAGGTTGCAGTGAGTTATGATGATGCCATTGCACTTCACCTTGAACAACAGAGTGAGACCCTGTCTCAAAAACAAAACAAACCAAAAAACAAAACAAAACAAAACAAAAAACAAAAAACCACTCCAACAGTACTGTGGCTTTCTAGCTCAAGCACAACTTCCAAGTCTCTGCCCAAACTAAGAGGTCTTCCCTAAGTACTTTGTCAAGAACAGGAACTTACCTGTCCATTTATGTTTGCTACTCTGAAGTTATCTAAGTTTTTAAAAAATTGCTAAATTTTTCAGTGTATTAGTCTTGATTACATAAATACTGCATGAAGGTAGAGATCCTGCTTATTTATTTTATCCTTGAATCCTAGAACAATTATAGGCATATATCAGATACTTAATGAAGATTTATTTATTTAATAAGTGAATGCAGGAAACATTGACCTTTAAATTCAGATCATTTAAACTCAGAGACAAGTATGGAAACCAAGAAGAAAGTGCCTACCCAGGGACTTGGTAGTAAGCCTAACAATTTCCTTTATGGAAAGATTTGAACCTTAAGTTAGGGTTCTAATGATCCTTGGCTAGTCAGATCCCAGATTGTTTCTGTGGTGTGGCTCCTGTTATAGAGAGAAGCCCTCTAATATTTATTAAGAGGAAATATTGTTCATTTCTTCCTTTAAAAAATAGCGTCCTTTCTCTCATTTGACTGGGAATCATTAGTTTACTTTATATTTTACCTAGGCTATTCTCCCCAACTCTACATACTAGCTAAAATTTTTTTCATATAAAAAAGTAGACAGAACAGAAGAATAAACCCCTAGGTGCCCATCAACCAGCCTCAACAATGCCCAACTCATGGACTCTTGTGTTATTCATACCCTATCCACTGACTCTTCCCCATTGCCTTTGGAGCAAATCTCAGGTGTGATATAATTTTACCAATAAATATTTTGGTATGAATCTTTAAACAATAAAAGATAATATTTTTATAATTACTATTTGAAATAGTGTCAGGGTAAAGGAAAATACTGTTTCATTTCATGTGCTCAAAAAAAGCACATTATTTCTATACTGTGAAGAAGTTAATGCCATAAAGATTGAAACTGTATGATCATTAAAAAGATTGAAACAAAATAAAAAGAAGTTTAAATAGACTTCTTGCTCTAACACAATGCCTCTACCTTGGGGAGCTGGGAAACATCTTACACCCTCATACTGCAGACTGGAGCTTTCAAGGGGGTACACATCTGGCTTCAGATGCTTCTTGGGCAGGTTTCAGCCAAGGACCTGCAATAAAGTCTGCCTGGCATGCAGCTCCATGAGGGCTGGCTAAGCAGTTGAGCTATGTACAGATTTCTGGCCAGGCTGTCAAGAGCTACCCCATAGGGGACTGCTCATTTAGGGGATGATGGCCCTATGTAGGGCTAAAGGCACCCTGCCTGCTGACAGTAACTCCTAGTAAAATAGGTCATCTTTTGGATCAGTGCTTATCTGTCTGGGTACCTTTTCTAATTTTGGTATTCCAAGGTGCCTCCCTCTTTCAGTTATCTTTAGAATGAACTAGGACCACGAGTTTTAAGATACTCTGCCATCCTTGAGGGGTGTGTTGTAACATTGGTGGGTCTAGGGGCTTGACAGCTACCTCTGCACACAGGTAAGGAATAAATTGCAGGTATAATGCATCCCCATCTGTATCTTTTCCCTTGGTTTCCCTCTTTTAAGCAGGAGGCAAAACTAACCCTAAAACTCCTTATCAGTGTCTGAAATCCAATCACTTCTATAAGTTCTGGCATATGTGTGCTTTTATATATCCTTATTGTCCCCTTACAGGAATGGCATAAGAAGCTACACTGACTTAGGGGTAGGTCTTTTAAAAAAAATTTGTTATTCTAGAGAGGGGGGGTCTTGCTATGTTGTTCAGGTTGGTCTCAAACTCCTGGTCCCAAGTGATCCTTCTGTCTTGGCCTCCCAAAATACTGAGATTTGCAGGCTTGAGCCACCATGCCCAGGCTTATGGCTTGTCCTAATCAAAGAACAAAGGAAAGAAAAGTCCTAGGTCTCCAATTTGACAGTCTTTGTACCTCTGTTTACACATTACATATTAGAAGCAAGTCATCTCTTAAAAAGAGTGGGGGGAATGGTGAACCTTCAAGCAGGAGAGCCCCGGCCCACTCTGACAGAGAGAGCTGGTGATGAAAAGGGACTAAAGACTTCTATTCAGCTTCCCCTCTTGTCTGCTCCCTCTAACTGGGCTTCAAGGACCAGCTTCCATCTTCAAACCTCCCCTCCCTTCTCTCAACTCTCATCCTGCCAAATTCTGTTTCTTTGGAGTTTCTCTTTATCCTTGTCTGGTGTGGGAGAGCTGATTTTCCAGACTGGAGTCCAATCTACCTTGGAGCAGGTTCCTAAGTTAGCTATCTCACTAGCAGAGAGAATGGCCCAAGTTTAGGCTATGTCCATGAGCTGCTGGCCATGGCTAATCCTGTTAGTTATCCAGGAAATAAACATGGGACTGAAGGAGATTGGGTTGTCTATTTAAAGCAGATAGCAGAGATGCTGGGACTGGGTGGAAGAAATATCAGGAAGGGACTGGATTGTGAGGAAGGGTGTGCTGGAAGTGTTGAGGACTAAGAAATCCTTCACCTTCCCCTCCCCCTGAGTCCTTTTTTTTTTTTCCCTGCCTTCATCCTGTCACCAAGGTAGCTTTTCTCCTGGCACCAAGTATTCTTGCTCCATAGGAGCATTTTTTTTCTACACTAGTCAGATTTTGCTTTTCCAGAGCCATTTAAGAAAACCTGAATGCTTTCAGGAAGAACTGGTTAACCTCAACTACTGGTTTAATCAGGAACTGAGGCACAGGAACAAAGAAGGCAGACTTTCATACGAGCCCAGGAGAATGTCTGATAAATGCCCTTTGGAGGATAAGCTCATGAAAGGGTTTACTGAGTGGTCTGTACTCAACACAGACTCTGCTCTTGTAGGAATTCACAGTAAAGGCAGAGTTTCTGGAAGGAGTAGAGGGATGCCAAAGAAGATGGCCTTTGGAGCCTCCTACTCCTTCTCTCCTTCCTGTCCATCTATAATACTCAGACAAGTTTTGTGCTTCATTCCCTAGCCTAGTCCACATTATGCTTTAATCCTACTTTTCTATGCACTACTAGAGTGTTGGATAAAGAGGGCCCCTTAATGCTCACACATTCCACTAATAGGTTCAATCTGATTAGGCTAACTCTCTACTCTGTACTCCATGGCCATGGAAAGAAAAGAGGAGAACCAATACACTACAAGCACTTATGCATACAGATACCATTCCCTCTGAGCTAGAAGTGCTTGCTGGGCATGTAGGCGAGTGGCAGTTCCAGGTTGGCTGGGTGCCAAGAAAACAGGCCTAAAACTGTGCCAGTGAGGGGGCCCTAAGTCAGGATCCAGACCAACTAGGGGAGAAGGCTTTGGGTCAGCATTGTGGATTGGTCCCACAGGCTGGGTAATAGATGAGCATGGGCCTTCCTTCTGAAATAGGTTACATGACAGTTGTGATTATGGAAAGCTTCTTACTTAGCAGTCCATTTTCTGCATGAGTAAATGTTTTCTGAGTGAATATTTTTGACAAACACAGAAGTCTCCTATATTATATAAAACTGAAGAATGTCTTTCAAATTATGGATAAAAGCTATTAATGTTTAAGTGTTTCTTTTTGATGAAAAAACTCACTTAAAAAAGGTTTCTATTCATTTTGAGTCAGGAGCTCAGCCACTACAATTAATGACACTATTTCAGCTTTTTAAAATGTATTCAAAGCTGAATAATGAGAATGGCTTCAGTGAGTTATAGACCCCCAACCTTTCCAGTGCATGGGCCATACACAAGAGTATATGGTCAGAAGGCCCCATAAAGAGTTCTCTCAGAGACTGAACCAGCATGTCTGGGAAGCTATTTTGATAGTGAATAACCCCAATGTAAGAGAACTGGGATGGCTGGGAAGCTACTTTAATAGTAAATAACCCCAATATAAGAGAAGTTTAGGCTGGGCTATAGGGAAGGGAAATCTAAGACAAGAACATGTGCAAGAAAGAGGCCATACAGGCCTCCATTGGCTAGGGTTAAAATCCGTATTTCTATGGAAACAGATTAGAAAGTCACATCAATTCTTTAAGTACATCTAATAAAAAACAAATGGTTCCAAAAGCCCCTGCTATAGGAGGTTTAGCATTTACAGATGTGCAAAGCTGGGATGTGAGATAATTTCTGACATCTCTAATCTGGAATTGGCTTTCAAAGCATAGAAATCAGTTGTTTTTTCCCCCCAGAGAAAATCATGCTGCCTCCAAATCTTGTGCACATACATAGGCACCCACCCAATTCACCATCCCACATACCACTGGAAGGTGCTGCCAACCTTGTGGCATCAAAATGTCATGCACCCCAGCAGAAACTGTAGGCCTGAAAGGCTTGCCTAATGAAACCTACCTTGCCTTTGTTGAAGTAGTGAATGATCTTCCGGCACAGTCCTTCTTTCCGCTGCCACTCTGTCTGGGACGGGTAATGGAGGAATTCCCGCAGTGGCCGGTCCTCCCACTGCAGTAGCTCACAGTAAAGAAGCAGGGTGAATGCAGCCTCTGTGGGGAAAGGCAGCATGGAGGTCCAGGGACTCTCCCTTAGGGACCTAGGAGCAGCCTGGTACTTAGGGACTGTACTGAGCAGAATGCCAGGGCAAGTCACATGTAGCCCAGACCAGAGATATTAGATGCCAAACATGAGACAGAGGGGCTGCCCAGCAAGCCAATAACCCTTGTCCAAGCATGAAGGAATCAAATATGGTAGGTACCTTCCTCCCATGGTCTGGTCCCTTACTCTGGGCTCTAGATAATGACAAAAAATGACTCAGCCATCCAGAGTCTGTGTACCGGTCGCCTTGCTCTTGGGTTCCTTTTTGCTCAACTGACTACAGCTTCCTTTCCAGCCTTCTCAGAACAGGATCTTAGGGGTAAGTACCAACCAAGGCTTCTCTTAGCCTTCCCTTCCCTATGCAAGTGTTCATGCCTCCAGCTTCATTTTCAGTCCTCAGCATGGCTCTGGGAATGACCCTTTCCCCTCATCTCTACCATTTCTAAAACAACTGCAGAGAGGGAGTTGAATGGTAGTAATTGCATGATGGGCCTGGAGCCAGAGGCTCATTCATGGAGGAACCTAAATAAATATTGGACCCAGAGTGAAGGCCTGGCAACATCTTACTCCATGTGTGGAACAAATAGAGAGGGTTATATAAAACAACAGCAGCTAAATACTGTGGCCCCCTAAATTCCAAAGGATGAATCCTTTTGACTACAACCACTGCTTAGGGTCCTCCTGATATAGTTTTCTCTTTTCTGTTCTGTTTGCTCATCTTAGTGGATGTCTTTACTGGCAAATTTTCTAGCTTTTGCCCTGTCTTTCAAGGCCCTACTCAAACCTTCTGCCCAAGACTATGAAGAATCTCTCTCTTTCTTTCTTTCTTTCTTTTTTTTTTTTGGAGATAGTTTCACTTTGTCGCCCTCAGTAGAGTACTGTGGCATCATAGCTCACAGCAACCTCAAACTCTTGGGCTCAAACAATCCTCTTGTATCAGGCTCTCGAGTAGCTAGGACTTTAGGTGCCAGCCACAATGCCTGGCTATTTTTAGAGATGGGTCTCGCTTTTGCTCAGGCTGGTCTCAAACTCATAAGCTCAAGAGATCCACCTTCCAAGTACTAGGATTACAGGTGTGAGATGCCACACCTAGTCTAAGTACCTTATTTCTAACCATTTTTGACTCATTTTAGAGTTTTAGTCAGGCTCACTTATTTAACCTATGTCTACTGACTCCTTCTCATTCTTGTCTCTTTGCCTGTCCCCTTGTCACTGAAACTTCCTACTGAGGGATGCACACATCTCATTGGGTCTAGGAAGCCTTTTCTCTCTAGGGACAAGCCCTATGGCACTCAGGGCCTCCCATTAGGGTTTAGGAAGCCATGTGAAATCTTTTTCTTTCTTTTCTATAATCTTTTCAGATGTCTCTCCCAGAGGTAAGCATTAGTACTCTTTCTATGTTCAAATCCCTGACCTAGCCTCTCAGTCATGTCCTAATTCTCTAGGAGTTTAGCAAACAAGAGATGTTTAGCAAACATAGAGATGGATACATTGAATTTATTAAAGTCTTTTTCTTCACTTTCCTCCCAGAAAGCTGGTGGGATCATGGGTGGAAATGGATGCAGAGAATGGGAGATTCAGTCCAATCATTTTAGATTTAATTCTTGCCAATCTATATTATCAGAAAAGGCAGCATTAGCTGGGTGTGGTGGTTTATGCCTGTAATCCTATCACTCTGGGAGGCCAAGGTTGGAGGTTCACTCAAGCTCAGGAGTTTGAGACCAGCCTGAGCAAAGCAAGACCCCATCTCTACTAGAAATAGAAAAATTAGCCAGGCATGGTGGTGGGTGCCTATAGTCCTAGTTATTTGGAAAGCTGAGACAGGAGGATCACTTGAACCTAGGAGTTTGAGGTTGCTATGAGCTAGGCTGATGACATGGCACTCTAGCCTGGGCAACAGAGTGAGACTCTGCAGAGAGAAAGAGAGAGAGAGAGGCAGAGAGAGAGAGAGAGAGAGAGAGAGAGAATGACAATGAATGGGCGAGAATGAAATTGTCTATGCCAAACTCTAATATCTAGAGATAAGGAAAGAGAATGATGTTTCTATAAATCCACCTAATTCTAGTAATGTCTGCAGACACGAATAGCTTGAATTTCCTATTCTCTCAAACAAATTTAAGTCTTATGGCTTAATGGCTAAAGTTTAGTGGTTAGTCACCACAGTGAAAAGATGGCTATTTGGGGGGAATTATGGCACAAGGCAATCAGATAGAACATATATGCACACACACATCCTCCTAATTCAGAGTGTTTCTCAATAAACAGTTGTGATAGGCTCTTTGAAATGCTTTAAAATTTGTTGTAGTTAGATTGTAACTACAAAATTTGTTGTAGTTAGATTGTAATAGATTCAACTGTAGATAAAATAAAAAAAGAGGTCCTGTCTAGCTAGCTATCAAGAAGTCAGATGAATGCTCTTCATACTTTCTACTGGAGCAATATGTGGGGTCTGCTATGCAGTTGCAAGGGAAGAGCCTAGACTATAAGGCAGTTCGGCCAGGGGAAGTCTCAGGTTTAGGGAGATATTCTATTGTTGTGGCCTCATTTAGTTCCAGCTTTGAAAATCCTAAAATGGCTCTACTCATGAGGATTAAAAATGAGCTCAGGATGGTCTGAATTTGGTGCAGCAGAATTTAGAGGTTACCCTTGAGGCCTCACAGAGGTGAACAGGAGTGAAGGAGAGTGGAACAGCCTCAAGAAGTGGAGACATGCCACAAAGGTATGAGTGGAAGTCCCACCTGTTTTCAGTCTACCACATGCCACAAGAGAATTGAGGGAAATGAGTGAGGTGAGTGGATAGCAGGAGCTCCAATATTCTGCTGAGATCTGTCAGGTAACAGCCCAGAGTTTTTCTCTGCCAGCATGCATATCCCTTTAGTTCATCCTCATGGGCAGGCATGGCTCTTCCCTCACCTGTGTAGTTTTCAGCCTGCAAGTGCATATCACAAAGCTTATGGATATAACGGATATACATCTCTTCTTTGTTAATCTCAGATTTGTAAAAGTTCTGTAGGAGAGAAAAGGAAAAACACATAAAGATGAGAGATTGCTACCTGTGAAGGTACAACTGAGATCTAGGCAGCTGGCTAAAGCCATCAGTGTGCTGGGCAGAAGTGAGGTGACAGGTCCTAGAGGCAGATGGCATCAGAAAGAGAAAGGACCAGCCAGAATAAACACCAGTTAGGGGTAGAACCTCTGGCAGGTCTGTGGGAGACTTGGGTAGTGTGAAAGATGAAGAGCATCAGGGCAGATTGAGGATTGGGGTATATCACGTTGGTAGGACCTTGCCAAGTGGCCAAGCTAGAGCTCTGCCAAAGGAGAAGTTCATTTCATTCCTTTCCTAAGTGGGAATGTGTCTAGGAGGTGCAGGTCTCCAAGATACCAGTAATTGAACTGATGTGCTTATTCAAATCCTTAGGGCTATGGCCACATATTGTAGAAAGGCCAAGCCAATCACATAAGTACAGGACAGAAACCGCCCAACTAGGCAGATAGGAGGAGAGCCCATGTCCTCTCACCATCAGGTTAACAGTGCAGCCAATCTTCTTATTCTCTGTTTCCTCTCCTTTCATGCAGTCCCTGGAATACAGAGCACAGATGAACACCCACAATGTGAAGTGATGCCCCTGAGACAATATACAAAACTGCAGTATCAATGGGGTATTAGCATGACCAAACCCCAGATTAAGATGCCTCCAACAGGAACTGTTTCCACAGATGAGGACTGTATTGTGAGCTCCCTCAGAGCTGTGGACCCACTTATAGGGCTCAAATTCACTGTTCAACTGAGTCCCTTGCTTTAGTGTTAGAGTGCAGGGCCTACCTGCACTTACATCTGGGTATTAAGTGGCACCTCCTGATGTCCTTGGCACAGAGGGTGTGTCAGTTAAGTAAAAGGCCAAATCCTCAAATTCCTGTAAAGAGAGGCACAGAGCTTTCCCTAAAGGGCAGCAGGTTTCATTTTGTGAGACAGAGTAGAAACCAAGCCTGACCAGTTCAGAACCCTAGCTTCAGGCCACAGCAACCACAGGATGGCTGACAAGTTAACCACCTAATTAGCATTTCTTCTATAGTTTCCTTCCTTCATCATAGTCTTTGGAATCCTCTTTTACAGAAGCAGAAGATCTAGTGTTCCTTTCTGATCAGAGGCAGCTTCAAGGAGGAGTGAGCTTCGTTTACACTAGGAGGGTCTGGGTATAGTAGGGTTCAAGACTGGCTTGTGAGAGACAGGAAAATAGAAACCCTTAGAATAGATCCTTCCCAAGGTAGAGAGAGGGCTGATAAAAGCCAAGTTCCTCTGGGAAGGAGGAGAGGCCCAGCACAAAGAGATGAAAGAGAATAGAATCAGACTAGTGAATCCCGTAAGAAGTCTCCCATACACACAGCCAACCAGAGTCCCATCTGCCTGCTCTGTTTCCTTCCATGGTACTCTTACAGTGCTTTGGAGAAAATCTAGTTCTTTTGCAGCTCTGCAGAAAAGCTGCAGAAGGGAATTTATATAGACCTCTAGGATTAGGGTAGAGAGTATATATTGGCTTTGTTCCACTGACAGGCACTGTGCCTCTAGATGGTCATTTGATAAACTCAGTTCTCACCACTTTCCTAGTGCATAGAGGGAAGGTTCTGAGGTGACTTCTTTGAAAGAAAGGGATATTGAAAATCTATACCACTCACATGATCTTCTGCAAAGCCAAATGTCCTTCCTTTAAATGGAGGTTTACTGTTAGAGTTGACACCTCTGTGCGGTTTGGAATTGGAACCTAGGCTCTCTTTTGGGGGGTTTGCTCTATCAGAACATTGACCCCAAAGGCATCTGGTTCCTCTGTTGCCAGACATGAGAGTCTTGAATGTTCCTCTGCAGAACCTGTCATTTAGTGCTAGCAGAGCCAGGAAACTTTGTGATTTTTTTAGAGGAGTGAGACTAAGGGACAGATGGCCAACTTGTTCCAAGTAATCCACAGTGGCAAGAAGCATCTGAAGGGCAGTGAGATCTTACTTAGCCATTTTGGTATTTAGTTATTTGAATTTTGTTTTTCAAAAATGATTCATTTAGGGCGGCGCCTGTGGCTCAAAGGAGTAGGGTGCCAGCCCCATTTGGCAGGTTCAAACCCAGCCCTGGCCAAAAACT